TTATCCTGATGACAGGGAAGCTCTAAAGGCATTGAGCTCATTTAAGACATGATCAGACATGGGCTTTAGAAACATCGCCAGCTGCTGTGTTGTGTGCCAGAGCCAGTCCTCAGTGTGGGGATAGATATAGTGGTGAACGAGTCCGACACAGAGCCCCCCCCCCCCCATACCCCTCAGTGAGGGCCCTGGGAGATATCACATCAGCAGAATGTCATTTAATTCTCAGGTGACCCATTTTACAGATGGGAAAACTGAGGCCCAGAGAGGAGCACAGATTTGCCTGCATTCACACACTAGAGAGTGTCGGAGCCGAGATTCTAACCTGGACAGTCTGTGCTCTACTCTCCACCTGTCCTTCCCTATTTCCCTTCCTGTCCTCACACAGGCAGGGAATAAACACATACAAAAGGCCCTGGTGATTGTTTATCTTGTGTTTGTTTTTCTAAGGCTATAGCTGTGGCATCTTAAAAATAACACAGATATGGAATGAGACAGATGTGGGTTCAAATCCTAGCCCTGCCTGTGTGCCCTTGTACAGGTTCTTCACCTCTCTGACCTCAGATTCCTCATCTGTAAAGTGGGGTTAATAATATATACCTCCATCCAGATTGTCATAAACCTGAAATGATATTTAGAGTGCTCAGCTCAATGCCGAGCACACACTAGGTGCTTAATGAAAGTTCTTACTTGCCTCTTTATAACCCTCACATACTGTCTTTAGTGCAAAGAGTGTCTGCGGCCCTAGGGAAGTATGTCCCAAGGGCGTCAGACAGAGCTGATCAGAGGTGGACCAGGGAGCAGAGGGCCCCAGCCTGAACGGGGTGGTGGTAGTGCTGCCCTCCAGGGCCCCGCACAGACACCCTCCTGTTGGGCCCAACGCTAACGACTTCAGTGTGTCTCTCCTTTTAGCTCAAATATTTCTGAAATGCACACTGCTCGTTCACACATAGCCGGAGGGGCCTAGGGGCCTCCCCAGCTTGTGCAATCAGGGCCTCCTGATTGCTTTCTTCTGTGCAGTCTCCAGGAAGGAGAGGGGGTGCGGGTGCATTCGCTCGGGCCAAAGCTGCTCCCATGGCCCGAACCCTGCTTCCCACTGGGGAAAGCATTCTGGGCTGGTGGCTGCAGGCTTTCGCTTGGATGCTAAGCATCTGCGCACACAGCCTCCGTTTTCTTGTGTATCCATTAGAGCAGCCAGGGCTTGGAAACTGGACATTTCCCTCGGGCTAGCCTAGGCGGGCGTGTCCGGAGGCAAGTGAAAGGGCAGTGTGGGGGAGAGGGGAGGGGAGGGTGGAGTGGGGGGGGACTAGAGAGGCTGGCCAGGATGTGGGCAGGGGGACTTAGTCCCACAGGAGGCCTTGGAGAGCTGCTGGCCTTCACTGGGCAGCCCAGCTCCACCTCTCCAGGCTTCCCCCTCAGCTCTCACCAGGCTCTGCCCCGCCTTCCCACAAACCAGGCTACTGCTCACCTTCCTTTTCCCACTCAGCCTTTCCTGACTTCTTTTTTTTTTAATCCTCACCTGAGGATATGCTTTTATTGAATTTTAGAGAGAGAGGAAGGGAGGGAGAGAGAGAGAGAAACATTGGTTGGTCGCCTCCCATATGCGCCCCAACCAGGGATCAAACCCACAGCCTAGGTACGTGCCCTGAGCCCTGACTGGGAATTGCACCTGCAGCCTTTGGTGTATGGATTGATACTGCAATCATCGGAGCTACCCTGCCAGGGCCTGACTTCCTTTTCACTCAATCTTCAAGCCTCCATTCAGTCACTTCCTCCCGGAAGCTGTCCCTAAACGGAGCATTTTCTTCCTCGCCTTCCACGCCCGGTTCCTGTAACCCACAGTGCACTGGGCACGTCCACATTGCTGTCTTTGTCACATCGTGTGGTGATTCATCATCTGTGTACAGTGAAAGCAGCTTCCCTGGCATGAGGGGTTGTCATTGTCGCCGTGGGGATGGGTTGGGGCCATTTCCAGCGCTTCAGGGGCAGTTTGGGAAGTGAAATGGCGTTAGGTAGTTTACAGGCGTTTTTAATTATAATAATCTTGTGTTTACTTTCCTTCTTTTTACGGCAAATAATGCTGACTTTCCCTTTATAATAATGATTACTTTTTCCTCTTTAAAATGCATTTAAGAAAACAGTCAACTGGAAGGAAAATAGCAACTAAATAAATACAGGTTGTAGGTGGAAATGGCTGAAGTCATGAATGTTGTCCTGATGGAGCAGAACACTAGCATGTGTTCAGATCCTACAGTTTGGGAGGAGTGGGGAGGGGGGATTTCCTACATAATAGAGGAAGACCTACTGTGTGCTAGGGACCCCAGAACCAGAACCTTAGCACCCACCATTAGAAGAACCCGGCAAACAGGGGTGGTTCCCATTCCGGATACCTGCAAGTGCTGGGACAGAGATATGGGTGGGGCGGATTCAGGAGGACTTCCCAGAGGAGGTTCCCTGAGGTCAAACTTCAGGGATGAGGAGAATTAGAGTGGGCACAGAAGGTGTGGAGGCGGGGAAGATCGGAAGAAACAGTATGTGTGAGGTGTGAGGTATCGGGGTGAGAGAGTGCACGACCCATTCTGTGCAGCTGGAGCATAGCTCATGAATGGAATAGATGTGTGACCGTGGGTGAGTCCTGAGCCTTTGGAAGCCTCCGTTTTTCCATCTGTGAAATGGGACCGTATCGACACTCTCCCGGCATGGTAGTGAGAATGTTGGTGAGGGCCTCCGGCTCCTCAAAATCTCCAGACAGGAGTTGTCTCCCTTTGTAGATTTTTGGGATTAGAGGGGAGATGTTTGGGGGGAAAGGAAAGAAGTGCTGGCGATGAAAATAGGGCTTGGCTTCCTGAACCCGCCCAGGTTCCTGGGGCCAGAACGCCTAATTCCGTTCCCTGGGGAACTGAGTTTGACTTCTGTGCTTGGTTTGAGAGGAACAAAGGAAACTCCTGTCGTCCCAGGAAAGCAGCATCAGGCAGACCGGGGAGGGCTCCCCAAAGGCTGTGCCCATCAGCGAGAGGCTGATGTTTGTCAGATGTTGGCAAGCACAGTCTCGGGGCAGGGGGGGGGGGGTAGTCTAAGCTGGAGCCTTTTATACTCGCCTTTACTTTCAGGGGCCACCTAATGAGCCCCCACGAAACGGTGTGTGTGCAGGCACAAGGTCACCCAGAAGCACCACACTCCACCTACGAAGGAGTAGCTGCCACTCAGAGGACCTGCTTTGTGCAGGGCTCCGAGCTAATACACTCCCCTTAGCATTCATTCCTCCTGTCCTCACCCAGAGGTATCATGGCTGTTCTCCAGGTGAGGAGACCGAGGCTTAGAAAGGGTGCGGGTCCAAGGTTACAAAGCAAGCAGGTGGCAGAGCGGGTTAATTAGGACTGAAGTCTCGACCTTCCATCCCCTTTTTTCAGAGGGTGGAGGGACGTGTCAACATTGAAAAGCAAAAGGCCAAGCGAAGTCGGGGGGCAGGGGGTCTCTCCCATGCCCCTCCTGCCACAGCCCCGAGGGGAGCACCTTTCACAGAGATGGGCTTCCAGGCCAAGCCCAGAACCAGCGTGGTGAGAAGGAAGAACAGGAGGTACCTGCCTTTCGCATCCTCTGAGGGGATCTGCGAACTTCCCACTCCCTCTTAGGCCATTCCTGTCTGTGACCCGGGCGGCCCTTGACTTCCAGATGTGGGAGGCAGAGGGGGTAGTGGGGGTCCAGGGGCTGAGCACCAGCTGTTAGTGTATGACTTTGGTAAGTCATTTGCCCTCCCTGGGCCTGAGTTTCCACCCGTACAATGAGGATGTCGGTCCACAGTCCCTCCTCTGGGCTGTGGAATCTTCTAGGGCTTGGCCTCCGGGTCAGCCCAGGAATGCAGCCAAGGGGTGGGGCCACCTGCTGGGCGGGCTTGCACCCCGACCCCTTTTTCATCCCAAGCAGTCTCTCCTCTCCCTTGTTTGACACGGCTCCTAGCAGCTGTTCCTCGGGCCCAGGCGGGGAGCCCGGCTTGGCGCGTCCCTGGCTGAGGCCGACGAGAGAAAACAGGTTAAAAGTTCAGCCCTTGTTCTCTCCAGGAAGAAAAATCTGTAGCATTCGGAGTGTGAAAAGGAACCCTTTTTTCAGCTCCAAAGCAGCACAATAGAACTTCCCTCTAATTTGCCATCAAAAGACGCCCTTGGCACTGGACTCCACCGTCCCTGGCGCCCCCCCCTCCACCACCACCCACCCCCCATTGCCAGCCCCCAGTGCAGAGGGACACAATGACCAAAAACACAAGCCACTGGTGGTCATGGGATGCTGCTGCACCCTCCCTTGTCAGTTTGCTGGTCTGACTGGGGTCACCTCTGGCTAAATGCTTCCCCTGTTTCCCACCTTCCATCCCCAATGTCCCAGCCCTAGTTCAAGACCTTGTCACTCCCATTTCGACCTTCAGAGCAGCCTGGACACTGAGCACCCTGCCCCCACTCTCCTCACTCTAAATCCCCCAGACCCTCAAACCGGGGAGGAGGCAGGTCCCTGTGTGATCCTTACGAAGTCTCCCCCCCCTTCTTTGTGCCTCAGTTGCCCTATGTATAAAACGAGGTGGTTGGGCTGCACCAGGGATAGGATCTGAAATGGTGGGTGTGAGTTTCCTGGTGCACTGTGGTGAGACGCATCGTGCAGCCATGGCGCGTGGGGATTGATTGGTAATGTCTGCCTTGGGCACCTCGGGGAGCATGGCCGCTAACAGGCCTCTCACCCACTCGCACTGAGCGAGGTGGCGTGAAAGATCCAGCTGTGACTCTCTAGGTCTCTCCAGCTACTCCCTCATAGCTAGTTGTATTCATGCCTCGTTTCCATGACCAGACTGTGACCTGTTCCGCAGCAGGGTCTTCCCGTTCATTGTTTTCTCTTCGGGGCACCAGCACAGGGCCTGGTGCAGAATAGGCATCAGGATGTGTCTCTTGAATGGATGCTTGAAAGGGGCCAATGTAAGTCTGTTCGGTGCATTGGGTGGTGACTCCTCACTCTCCCCACAGAAACGCTGATGGATTCAACCACAGCGACGGCGGAGCTCGGCTGGATCGTGCATCCTCCATCAGGGGTGAGTCAGTGGTCCCCAAACCCTGCCTGGTCCCCCCAGGACACCTTGGGTTTTGCTGCAGGGCCTGGATGCCCCCTCACATTCCAGCCCCTTTCCCTCATTCAGAGCCCAGGGCCAAGCCTCCCATGGCCCCACCCACTGGGACCTCTACCATTGGTGGAGCCCCGATTACCATGACAACATACTGGATGCATTAAGCTGTCCCCTGGAATCCTCAGAAGTAGGGACTTGCACTACCCCCTTTGCAGATGAGGAGAGTGAACTGTCATTACGTCAGCACCCAGTGTGTGTCAGGTACTGTGTCAAGCACCTTTTCACACATCTTCTCCACTCCCAAGGGAAGGAACCACCTCCATTTTACAGGTGAGGAAACCGAGGCTCAGAGAGGTGTAGCCACTTGACAGGGGCCCTACAGCTAGTAAGGGGCGGGGCTCAGGTTTATATCGAATCCTCTGGGCCCCCTTTCTGGGCCCCTATAACACAAGGCTCCCGCTCCCTGAGCGCTTCACACCTTGCATTCGGTGACCTGAGCCCATGTAGTCTGCAGGCTCCCCAGGGGGAAGGTCAGGCACAAGCTCAGATTCCTCTTTCTCCGCGCACCAGCCAGCCTGGCACTCGCATACAGGCTGTGGGGTGAGACTCCTGCAGTTCTCTCCCAGCTCTGCCACTCGCCCCGGGGTGATTTGGGGGCAGTGCCGCAACCTCTCTGAACTTCCGCTTCCTCATCTCTAACATGGGGATGACAATGCCTTCCTCACAGGACTCCGTGAGCTTTTCCTGCAGAGTCGCTGGCACAGGGCTTGGCACAGAGTGGGCTCCCGATAGCGAGGAGCTAGAATAAATGTCACCATCGTCACTGTCACCGTCATCAGTTTTAATACCGTCCCCTCCTCATCCCTCTGGTCTCTGGGGAAGGTTCTGGGATCCCACTGCCCATCCCTTTCCTCCCCCACCCCCAGCTTCTATGCTGGGACTCAGCTGCTGCCCATGGAGCTGCATATCCCCCCCCAGGCCTGCGCTCTCAATAGGCAGCGCCCCGGGTCAGGCTTCTTTCTGTGGCTCTTTCTTGTCACCAGTTTTCCATCTGCGAAAGCAGCGGAGCCCACAGCCCCACCCTGCCAGTAATGAGGCCAGGCTGGGCTGCAGGGCCCCCGGACGCAATTATTTGGGGTGTTCAGGCTGCAGGGCCTCCGCATGTTAATTAGAGAGAGGGGAGAAAGGCAGAGTGCTCTAATTAAGTGCTCTAATTAAGTTCTGAAGAAGAGCAGTGGTTGTAACAAGGGGCTGACTTTGTCACATGGTGCCACCAAAAAGGGAAAAAAAAAAAATTTAAACACAATATAAGGAGCTTCAGAGCCGCCACTGAAGTAGAGGCTGGGCCAGCAGGCTTCAGCTCGGCCTTCCCCACACACGCGCGCCCTGCACTGCATCGGCCCTCCCCAGGCCAGCTGCTACCGCTCCGCCCCGTGCAGACCTGGCCCAGACAATCACAGGGAGACGGGACAAAGGACGCCCACTGGAATGCGACAATTCTCCCACGCCCATCGTAGTCATATTTGGCAGTTGGGGAAATAGAGGCCCAGAGAGGGGAAGTGACTTGCCCAAGGCCACCCATCAAGTTAGCAGAGCTGGGACCAAACCCGGGGGCACTGTCGGGTCCTCGTGTCTCGAGGCAGTCTGGGCAAGCAAGCGAATGGGTCTGGGTCCGTGTGACCTGGGTCAGGGGACCTCACTGCTCTGGTCTCTACTCCCTCATCTGTAAAATGGGGATGACCACACGCACCACGTGTAAGAAACATGACAAAGAAACGAAACCCTATCAGCTCCCAGCTCCTGGGCTGACGGGGTGGGTGAGGGTATTCTGCTTGTGGGGTTCCTTGGGGTTTACCCTTGTGGGTCTATGCTGGGTAAAGCCAGCCCACCGCCAAGGGGACACAAGAGAAGGGGGGGAACAGTAGCTACCCTCAGCAAGCTCTCAGGTCCACGGGGTGGGGAGACCAGACCAAGAGGGCTGAGGGTGCCCAGCTCTTGCCAGGCAGGTGGTCCCACATGAATGCAGACACTGCAGCCAGACGGAGAGCCTGCTGCGAGAGGTTCCAGAAGGATGGAGGGAAGACGAGAGGGTGCATGAGGAGGGCAAAACGTGAGCACCAAGGCTCGGCAATGCCAGGGGCTTGGCCTTTGAGGGTCTGTGAGGAGAGAGTACGGGTCCCGTGCCCTCCCAGTTCCAACCCTCCATGGCCCAACTTGGCCCCTCCAGCAGGAGGCCTGGGAACACTCCGCTGGCTGGGGGAGCCCAGGCCTGGCCCAGTGAGGATGTGGAAACACCTGCCCCAGGCAGCACGGGTGGGAGGTCTCCCTCCAGGCACCATCTGAGCCTCTTATGGACCCTGAACAGGGTAGGGTCCTGTCTTCCCAGTCACAGGGGTAAGGGCTCTTCTTCCATCGGACTGGGAGCCCCCAAGGGCACAGACTGTGTCTCCCTGGTCAGGCAGGGAATTTCCAACAGGCAGAATTGTCTCCTCATCAGACTGGTAGCTCCCCAAGCACAAAGCTCTGTCTGCTCTCAGTGAACCTCTGGGGAATACCAAGAGCAGGGTATGTGCCCTTCCCATCAGAGAGGCCTGCCTCCCTCACAGACTGAAGAATTCCTAAGGCCAAGGCCATGTCTCCCCCTCAGTTAGGGAGTTCTGTGATGGGAGGGATCATGTCTCCATCAAAGTGGAAGATCCCTAAGGTAGAGTCTGTGCCTCCCCCATCAGACTAGGAAGCCCCTGATACTAGGGGTCCTGTCTATCCCCCTTCAGACTGGGGGATTCCCTAAGGTGGGGTCTGTGTCTTGCCTCTTTGGGTGTTCCCTTGGGCTCAGCTCTTACCTCCCCCACCTGACCAGCATTTCCCCCACAGTGGGAAGAGGTGAGTGGCTACGATGAGAACATGAACACGATCCGCACCTACCAGGTTTGCAATGTATTTGAATCGAGCCAGAACAACTGGCTACGGACCAAGTTCATCCGGCGCCGCGGTGCCCACCGCATCCACGTGGAGATGAAGTTCTCGGTGCGGGACTGCAGCAGCATCCCCAGTGTGCCCGGCTCCTGCAAGGAGACCTTCAACCTCTATTACTATGAGGCCGACTTTGACTCGGCCACCAAGACCTTCCCCAACTGGATGGAGAATCCGTGGGTGAAGGTGGACACCATCGCGGCCGACGAGAGCTTCTCCCAGGTGGACCTGGGTGGCCGCGTCATGAAGATCAACACCGAGGTGAGGAGCTTCGGGCCCGTGTCCCGCAGCGGCTTCTACCTGGCCTTCCAGGACTATGGCGGCTGCATGTCCCTCATCGCTGTGCGCGTCTTCTACCGCAAGTGCCCCCGCATCATCCAGAACGGCGCCATCTTCCAGGAGACGCTGTCAGGGGCCGAGAGCACTTCGCTGGTGGCCGCCCGGGGCAGCTGCATCGCCAATGCTGAGGAGGTGGACGTGCCCATCAAACTCTACTGTAACGGGGACGGCGAGTGGCTGGTGCCCATCGGGCGCTGCATGTGCAAAGCGGGCTTCGAGGCCGTGGAGAATGGCACCGTCTGCCGAGGTAAGGGCCGCAGCGGAACAGGTGCCCCTGCAAATGTGTGGAGTGGGTACCGGGCCTGGCAGCTGGGGAGTCAGGCTGGCAAGGGCGGTGACCTGGAGCTGACCGGGAGGCACTCTGGCGAGGCTTTCCCAATCTACATCCGTGGTGGAGCTTCTTAGAGGCATTTGAACAGCATTTTTTAAAAATATATTTTTATTGTTTTCAGAGAGGAGAGAGGGAGAGAGAGATAGAAACATCAATGATGAGAGAGAATCATTGATCGGCTGCCTCCTGCATATCCCTTACCGGGGATCGAGCCTGCAACCTGCGCATGTGCCCTGACCAAGAATCAAACCATGACCTTCTGGTTCATAGGTTGATGCTCAACCACTGAGCCATGCTGATGGGGCTAAAAGCATTTCTTGATGGCGGTACTTGTAGGTACTATGGGGGGTTCAGGTGGGAGGAGGTGTTGCAAGATGATTTTAGTCTCATGAGGATGTTTCTCGTTTTAATAATTATATGGATCTTATCTGATGCTAAGCGGTGCTCTATTTCTTCATATACAAAAGTGATATAGTTTCCTTCTTAAGAAAATGTGTAGGTCATCACATTTATAAGTGAACATTTATTGAGCTGCTTTTGTATCAGCCAGTATAGGCCAGGCGATGCTGAAGTGACAAAACAATAGAAGTTTATTTCTCACTCACGTTCCATGTCCATCGGGGTTCAGCTTGGGATTCCTCCCTCTGGGAGCCAACCAGATGGAGGAGCCTCCGTTTGGGGTGTCACGATCACCAGGGCAAGAGGAGCAAGTGTGGCAAATGGTAGACTGGTTCACCGGCTTCAGCCCGAAGTGACCCCCGCATCACTCCGTGCACTCCAGCCACAACGCAAGTCACGTGGTTACTTCCAGTGTAGAGAGATGGGAAGTACAGTCCCACTGTGGACCCGGCCTCCTGGTCACCACTTTGTGTGCTGGCCACCGGACATGTCTAACTCACTTAATCCTCATAAGAACCCTGTGAGGGGAAGTGCCTTTTTATTTTAAGAAATTGAGGCAGAGAGCCTTACTCTCACATAGAGAGTGGAGGAGCCAGGAGCCTGACACCCAGGTAGTGGGATTCCAAACTGCCCCTCCAAACAGATCTGGTGCCCATACTCTGAGTGTCTATACTATTCTGCTTAAGTTAAGGGAAAACATTGACAAACAATAGTACAGGTGGTGTTTGCCTGTGGCACAGTGTACAACCTTCCTGGGCTGTAAACACAGGAAGTTTGTGAGAGTCCCGCATGGTGGTTAGAGGCTGTGAAGGTGGACGGACTTGGGTTCAAAGCCCAGCCCTGGCAGCTACTAGCTGTTTGTCCTGGGCCGAGTGTGAAACCCTCTTTCATATGGGGGGTGTGAGGATTCAACAACGTAAGACCTATAAAGCATTTATTACAGCTTCTAGTACACAGTCAGAGCTTAATAAGTGCTAACTAACTTATTAAGACAGAGAAGAATCTGGTGCAGGTACTCAGCCAGGTGAGCTGTGATGGTGATGGTGCGGGTATAGGAGAGTTGAAGTCTATTTGTGCCTTGTCCTCTTGACTTCCCATTGGAGTCGGACCCTGCGGTGCTCCAAATGCCAGACTAAGAGTTTGGACCCCATTCCAGAGGCCCTGGAGAGCCAGTGAAAGTTTAGCCTGGTGTGGTTGCCATGATTTTTACCTCCATAAAATGCTGTCACATCCACCATCTCCACAGTCCCTCCACTCCCGCCTTCTGGGCATTTGAAAGGTCCCTGGGAGGATAAATGGAGGTACAAGAGACCGGAACAGCGGCCTGAGAGGAAGCTGTTGCCGCGAAGGCATCCACGGTGCTGGAAAGAGGAGCAGGGGAGACAAGAGATGTTTGACAGTGAATTGGATGAGATGCAGACACAGGCAGGAAAGGGAGGAGGGAGAGGAATCAAAGGGAGCAGGGAATTCCAGCTTGCAGGGAGGTGATGGTCCTGGAACAGAAGTGGGGAAGTTGGGAGAAAGGCCAGTTTCTTGGGGGCAGATAACAGAGCTGGGTGTCTATTCCTGAATGTGAAATTGTGCAGCCTTAGGAGATGGCAGGACCTGGGGGGATAGAATCAGTCACACATTGCTTGTTGTTTATTCACTCACCAAACCTTCCTTGCACCTGCTCTGTGTCAGGCCTTGTGCTAAGCATCAGGTTAGACAGAGAAGAATCTGGCTGGGCCCTGTCCTCCAGGAGCTCACAATTGAGACAGACTATCTATATATATATAAAGCTTAAGCAACCAGCCGACCAGCCGACCAGCCAGTAGCTATGACACACACTTACCACCAGGTGGCAGACACTTAGCACAGGAGCGGAAACCACAGGCATGGAAACATGGAACGGACTGATGAATCTCAGAGGGAAGAGGGGAGGAGGAAGGGTGGGAAGAGATTAACCAAAGATCTTATATGCATACTAGAGGATTCATGCATTGGCAGGGTCCCTCAGCCTGGCCTGTGGGGATCGGGCCAAAACCGGCTCTCCGACATCCCCCGAGGGGTCCCAGGTTGCGAGAAGGTGCAGGCCAGGCAGAGGGACCCCCCCACCGGTGCGCAAATCCGTGCACCGGGCCTCTAGTAAGTGAATAAGGGAGGCAGTGCATTAGACTTGCTTTAATAGGAACTGCTCAGGCTGCGATGGGCATAAAAAAATGAGGGAAGGCTTCACAGAGGAGGTGACATTGACACTGGGAATCTTGGGAGAGAGATATGCTGACTGGGTGGCCCAGGCCATCTGGAGGATGGATTTGCATGACAAAAGACCTGGGGACATGAATCAGCATGGCCCATTAGGGGGACAAGTAAACTGTTTGCTGTGGCTGAGGCTAAGGACTCCAGGAAGGATGTAGGAAGAACTGTCACTAGAAGGGTGCCTAGAGGGGAGGTGTACTAGTTATCTATTGCTGCATAACAAGTTACCCCCAAATTTAGCAGCTTAAAACAGTAAATATTTACTACCTCACAGTTTCTAAAGGTCAGGAATCCAGTTGTGACTTAGTTGGGGGCCTGTGGCTCAGTTGCTCCTGAGGTTGCAATCAGGCTGTGGGTTTGGGGCTGCAGGTTTATCTGAAGGCTGGACTGGGGAGGGGTCTGCTTCCATTTCACTCACGTGATTGTTTGTCAGCTTCAGTTCGTCACCACATGGTCCTTGCACATGTGCCGTGGCTTACCCAGAACGAGGGATCCAAGAGAGTCTGAGAGAGTACCTAGGAGAGAAGCCACAGTCTTTTCATAAACCTCATCTTAAAAGTGACATTACTTCTGCCATAGTCACTTCATTAGAAGTGAGTCACCAAATTCAGTTCACACTCCAGGGGATTGAGTTCACTGGGTGTGAATGCCAGGAGATGGATTATTGGGGGCCATCATAGAGGTTGCCTGTCACAGGCAGCTTCTCCGAATCTGGACTTCTTGCAAGTAGTGAGGATTCAAGGTAATGCTGGGGCAGGGTGTGCACCCAGACCTGGCTCCTTCCTACTCCCCGCTTCCTCCTGGACCTACAGCCCGCCCAAGGCCCAGGCCCAGCCAGCTTCCGGGTGTGCGCAGAGGCCAGTCCGGGTGTGATTAATGAGCTCAGGGATCCAGAAGGACACCAGCTGCTGCGGTGGCCTGTGCTGCAGCCACCCAGATGTGGGGCTGCTCCCACCCAAGTCCCGCAGGCACTGGCCCCGCTGGCCCGGGATGGGCAGGAATGGTGATTACAGCTCACATCTGAGATCTTGGCAAAGTGCTTTCTCATCCTCTGGCTTAGGGATTCTCAGCCTTTGCTATGCCTCAGAATTCATTAGGAAGTTTGTTAAAATGCACATTCCTGGGTCTGGTACAGACCTCTCCCCCAGGTCTGGTTCTGTGGCTCTGAGGTGGGGCCAAGAATCAGCATTTTAAAACAAGCAGCTCTGATGCTTCTGTAACAGGACCATGAGCTCAGACACACGATGTGATAACGCATCTTTGCCAGGTGATGACCACAGTCCCAGTCCCCCACCACCACCCCAGGGAGCATCCACCCTAAGGGATGAGAAGGGACATTAGCCGAATCTCTGGGAGGGTGATTTAATATTTAATATTGAAGCATAATTTGATGGGAAAAATCCATTTAATATTGAAACATAATTTGATAGGAAAAATCCATTGCTTTGTTAATACGAATTAGAGGAAATAAGGCTGGATAAAGTCTTATTGGCAGATGGGGATAGGAGTCCTTGTGGGGAGGGGCCAGAGGTAGGCATTGGTGGCTGGTGAAGGGTGGGAGGTCCCAGTGGACGGAGTGGTTTACAGAACTAATTGAGTCAATCGACCCAGCGTCTTGGGTGCCTACTGTGTGCAGGGCACAATGAGAAGGAGAGGGGCCTGGAGAAGCCAATCACCATTCAACAAGCATGTAGTGTGTACCCTCTGTGTACCATTTAGCCCTCTAACAGATACTTACCGAGTACCTCCCAGGAGCTAGGCCCATGCCCGTGCTGTGAAATACAGACGTGGACAAGACCCAGACATTCGTTGCCCTCCCAGAATTTTTAGGCTGGGTGGGCAAAAAAGGGAAGATGGTGAGGGGAAACATTAATGAACAAACTGAATAAAGACTGTAATGCGTGAACGGGAGAAAAAATAGGGTGCAACAGTAGAGATCAAAAGGAAGATCCGCTTCAGTCAGGTGACTCAGGAAGCCTTCTTGGAGGCCGTGTCATTTGAGCTGACGGGGCACCTGGGAGAGCTGGAGGAGAGTGCCTGGGACTCAGGGTCTGGCCTCAAGGGACTGCTGGACGAGCAGAGGACCCAGACACATGGGGGAAAGGGCAGAGCACAACCCTCCCAGAAATGAGCTCCATCCAGGCAAAGTGCTGTGAGAACAGAGGAAGAAGGCATCTTTTCTGATGGGGGGATCTAAGGTGGCTGCAAGGAGGAGGTGGTATTTGGGTTGGGCCTTGAAGAGTAAGTAGGAGTTGGCTGGGTGAAAGGAGAATTGT